GCGTCAATACAACGACTTATCTCACCCCGTCCAGTCTGCAGTAAATCAGCGGTCGATAACACACCGCGCGCAGCAAAGTGCCATGCGAGCTCTACGACCCTCCTGCTGGATTTACAGCACATTTCATTCTGCTCTAGATTACTCTGCTTTGGCTGGAGGTTTCACTCCTGCTGTGAACTTTTCTCCCTCAACCCCCCCAGTTTACAGAATAGAAAAATAAACCTGTGGCAGCTCCATCCCAGTGTTTGTTTTCTTGGGCTCTTCCCTGACACTCGCGGTGCGTGGCAGAGCTCTTCAACAACACTTGAAAGTTTAAAGACGTATGACATGTTGCAGAATGCCAAACATTCCTGAAAGTTTTTTTTTTTTTTTTTGTTCTGAGCACATTTCCCCTCCGGACAAGTGGGAGCACATAAACGCAAATGTGCTTGTCAGCTGTGCCGATCGTACTGGAGAACCACAGCGTTTGTGTTGGTTTATTGTCAAACTCTTTTTATTTTAAGCCTCGTGAGGAATTTTTGCCTTTGGACGCCTCAGAGAAACCCTCATGAGTTTTTAGATATTTTGTCTCAGTTTCCCACATCTTCTATTAGTCATACAAGTCAGGAGGAATACTCATTTCGTCCATTTCCTACTTCTGCTCAGGCTTCTGGGTGGAGGGGCGCAGCTACACCTCCTCTGACCCCTTGAACAGTTTCTATCCTCGGGGAGGAAGTCTGGACTTTTCCTTCCTGCTGTCTCACTGAAGCAGCGCAGCGCTCTGACAGTAAAGCAGAGCACCACCTTGTATTTTTCTTTTTTTTTTGTTTTGTTTTTTAAAGCATGATTGCACTTGGGTGGTGGTGGTGGTGGTGGTGGCTGGCCGTTATCTTGCCGGACTGGATGGGTGACAGAGCGAGGTGGAAGTATTTATCCAGTTCAGCGCCTCACAGCTTCAAAAACTTCCCAGCAAACAGATCTGTTCTTGTGGCTGCCACTCCCTTAATGCTTCCTGACGTCATCACCCTGCTGCTTACATACAAAGATGAACATTTTTAACTTCACCATATTGAGGTATTTGTTTGATTATCCAGCTTGCCTCAGCTCCCTGCTACAAGTTTATTGTGAGTACACCGACTGCGCATTCCTCTGTACTCCCTTTCTAATCCCAGCTGAGGTGCTGACAGCCTGTCTGCTACCGCCTGGATATTCTGTAGTCTCTTTCACTCAGTCATTACTCAGCTCAGAAATATGAGATAAAGTGCCCCAGGAGCGCTAAAGGGAGCTCACCTCATTCCTACTGCGTCTCCAGCTGCGGTAGAGTAACACTCAGCTATCCGGTGCTCCGGTGCTGTTATTTACCCTTTTTTTATTTCCCTCCCCAATGAAGATGGATGTCATGACGAGTTTCTGATTCTTGGGTAACTGAACAACAAATCTGGTTAATTTGAGGATTGGTGGACGGCAGACCAAGCAAGGGGGGGTGGGGGGCTCTAAGATTGCAGCAGTAGCAATGCAATCAAGTGTCACATCTGTCCTCCCGGCGCCCATCGCTGACCTCACATCACAGCTCCGGCAGCCAATGCAGTTTACCCAGAAATAAATACAATAAAAAAATAAAAAAAAAGAAGCTGAATCTGCCATTCAGCTCATTGTTGAATCGGCACATTTCTTCCCTTCTTTTTAGAGAATAAAATAAAGTGTGTTGTGCAGCTGATGACATGAGACATGAGCTCTGGATTTGAAGGGGAATTACAGTTGTATGATTAACAGCTGGCTGAGGATTTAACCTGATGTAAACCAGGAAAGGAAAGGAATAGCCTAGATCAGCCTCGACCCTCTCCGTTCAACGTGTCAGTCGACAGATTAATCGGACTTCATTGTAGCGGAAGTCGCTGTTTCGCTGGGAAATCGGAGGGGGGGGGGGGGGTGACTGTGGTAGAAGGGTTGACTGTTAATAGTCTGGTGCACTAATTTTAAGGCCTGGTTTCAGAGCGTTAAATGTGTAAATGACAAAGGCTATTCTTGTGCCACACCGTCCTTTAGTTGGTGTAAGACTAAATATTTGTTCATTGTGGTCGGACCCCTTTATCTTTCTTCACTCTGCGCTGCGTACAGTTTGGAGTCAATATGAAATACAGTTCATCTCTTACACGGGGGAATTAAAGAAGCATTCAGAATGACTCAAATGGACTGAACATATTTTTATAAAATTCAATCAATTGCAGCCATTTTACAACATCACATGTTGTGCTTTGGGGGGAAGCGCGGACTACCTTGAATGGATGTAGCAGGATGTAAATTTGTCTGTACACGCGACAGATCAGCATCTGAGGGCTGAGGCATCAATGGTGCCGTTTGTCTGCGGACGTTACAGCTGCAAGGGGTTGACAAAAACAGATTAGCTGTGCAGCTTCTTAATGTTACAGTTGTCATTTGCATTGAAAATCGCAGCGAATGGCAGTTCAGAAGTTTCTCTGAAAACAATTTAATGCAGGTTGTAAATCTAATTTTCTTTAGACATCATGGTTGTTCGGAGGCTGCAGCATCATATTGACAAAACACAGTTAAGGGCTTCTAAGAAACAGCAAAGAAGGACGAGTCAAGGACTGAGCCAAACACCGAAAATTCCCAGAATGCAGCTTGATGATTTCTCTCTGTCAAAGTCGACACTCCTTGAAATGCAGGCTTTGAATTTTACCCCTGATGACCCCTCGGGAGCCACATTAGAAGTTATGCTGCCAAGCTCACAGGCTGTGTTGTACTCAGTATGATAAGTAAACTGGACTTCGTATATTAAAGTGCAGTTTTTAAATACAATAATTGCAAGTTGATTTGCAAAGCACCGAGAACAGCATTATATTTATGTTCAGAGTTTCTACAAAATCACTTTTCCTACCATCTTTAATGGATTCGGCTTTAGAAATAAAATTCTATTGCTTAAAAATTGTCATACTTTGAGTAAAATAAACATCGTCTATGACTTGCAGCTTGATACTGAATGTAGGCCAGCAGTTCTGCTCAGGCAAGCATATGTTGCTCAATAATCTGTTTGAAGTCTCATGTCCCTATACAGCAAAAACTGCATCCTCTTGCAATTTACAAATTGCAAGATTTCTTTTGTTTGTTTGTTTGTTTGTGCTGTTTCATGGATTTTGCTGCAGCTGTTACTCCATCTCTCACATATTGCATATTGCCGTGTCATAAGTAGGTGTCTGCGTGTGCACATGAATGACTATGTGCTTTCAACAGATGGCCTTTTGCTCCGAGCCCTCTGGAGGAATCTCCTCCTCCTCCTCCTTCCTGGGGCTGTTATCGCACAACACATCTGCTGCTCTGATTCCCGCTAAAAGAAACGCCGCTAACGCTGTCGCCCCGTCACCCAGCCGAGGTGTAACCAGCAGCACGGCAGCTCTTCAGGTCAGGAGCTTTTAGCCGTAAGGATTGCTTCTGGATTAGATACGCGCTGCCATGGGGAATCGGTGACGAGACAAACAGTGACATGGTTGTTTTCATTTTGCTTTTCGCCCGTTCCCCCACCGTCTTCAAGTGACTGAATGCCCCCCCCCCTCCCCTTAAACCACTACCATCAGTAATCATCTCTTCCTCCACTGCTGCCACCACCACCTACCCCCCCCTGCTATGGCAACCTGTTATCAAAGCCCAGTGTTGCCCCTCCAGGCACTGCTCTTTGGACTTGGCTTTATGAGTGAGCAGTGTTGGGAAGAGCCCGCAGAGATCAAACATGACGGCTCACTCTGGACCTCGGCTCTGAGCCTCGGCCTGTTTGATGTGAGGTGGCTCTCAGCAACATGTTATTACCGCAGTCCTTCTGACTGTCAATGTGTTGTCTTTTTAAAGATAATATATTTGTTACTGAGTGCAGGACTTGTCTAATTATCTTTAAACAAACACTTTGAGTTTTTTTTTTTTTGGGGGCTTAGCTAGCTAGCAGGCTAACTAATCAAAGCAGTTACTTGCTAATGCTAATGTCAGCTGTTTTGAGTATCAAACAGTCATTGCCTGTATGCTTGAAAGGTGTAGCATTACTTAAAATTTATTTAGTAGAAGCTTACATTTTATGTCCGAAGCGGGTTGCTTTGGTACATTAGCCTACTGGCTAGTTAGCCGCCTAGCAAAACCAAAGCTGCTTGTTTTAGGCAGCTAACTAGCCAGCTAGCTAATGTGTGGAAGCAACTATGGGGTATTTCTGATGCTAATGTGTTTTTCTACTACATTTTAAGTGTCCAGACATTTATCACCTGTAGGTAAATGCTTGTAGCTACATTAGCTTATTTCTTTGCTAATTGTGTTGGATGTACTGGATTGCAACAAGTTTCCAGCAATGACAGAGTTTCAAAACTTTCTCATAAACCTCTCATAAACTAATTGTGACCCAGCAAACATAATCAAAAACACCTCAGTGCCAGAGCAATGAATTGAAACTTTTAGCCATGATGTTTTAGCATGTTTTCTTTCAGAGCCAAGTGTGTGTGAGTGTTTTTAACACAGCACAGGTTTTTAGTTGAGTGCTGTTTTATCGAGTGTGAAGACCAATTACACTCACAAGACTGTAATGCTGAACAGAAGCGTCAGACAGGAGTCAACAAATGGTACAAAATTGTCACTGTCAAAATACTTTGACCTTTTTAAAAAAGCTAAAAAATTAAGCAATGTATTGATGACTATGTCAAGTTTAGCATCTTTGAGTTGAGAAATGTAGTCAGCTGTTCTCGGAGCCTCCAATATGGCTGCTGCAGGATGGCGTTACATCATCTGAAATCCCTCCAGAGAGATCGTGGTATCGAGGGAATGAGAGTCGGTGGGGGGGAATAGATGTCTTGGCTGCTTCATTGGCCCGAATCCACCAAAAAACCTGACCTGGATACGTGGCTCGAAGATGGATGCAAATGTTATGTGATATTAACAGTAACCAGGTTCCTCTTCCATCGTTTTTTCATCATGTGTTTTTTTTTTTTCTTTCCTCTCCCCCCCCTCTCTAAATCCCTTCTCGTGCACAGGCCCAGGACAAGAGGAAAGCTCTGGAGGAGACCAAAGCCTACACCACCCAGTCCCTGGCCAGCGTAGCCTACCAGATCAATGCCTTAGCCAACAATGTACTGCAGCTGCTGGACATCCAGGCTTCGCAGCTGCGGCGCATGGAGTCCTCCATCAACCACATCTCCCAGGTCAGAACCACACACACACACACACACACACACACACCACACACACACACTCCACAGACCATACAGCTGTGAAGAATGATGCCCCACATTTCCCACTTCTCCTCTCACTTTCACACTGACTCGGTTATTTTGAAACACAGTACGAGGCCTTCTGTAGTATCCATGGTTCCTTTTATTGGTTTATCAGTGTAGTCCAAGTCTCTGACTGGCTGCGTGTTTGGCTAAATGACTGGTGTTCTGTTGGTCTTTCTATTATGCTCTTGTCGTACTCTGAGGCTCACAAATGCATCGTAAAACATCTATATTTCCCACAGTCAGTGAACATGTTAAAGTGGCGATCATGAGGTTATAGATCTGTTTTTATAGATAGTAGTGATATCTAATATTTTCTCACCTATATCAGCCAATACTGCGCATCAATTATACTAATATTTCAGATCATATAAGGTTTATTCTGTTGCTTGTCTGATGGGGGGAAAAAAAGGACCACACAAATGGCAGATCCACAAATTGCAGCAATACAATTTATTTTTAAACTATATCAGATTTGCTATAATATATATATAATTTTGCCTGACCATTTATCCGTGATGGCTTTCCCACGTTTTTCACAAAGTGCTTTGATTTGCAAGGTGTTAAATTCCTGTCGGGTTATTTTATCCAGTACAATTTCTCAATTGGGTTTCCAGAAAATGTATTAGATCACGATGGATACTGTGATATAAACGTACATAGTGATCGCCTACACACCTATAATCAGGTCATTCCTACAACCTAAGGGCGTAGCGATAACCATCGTATTGTAGAATAAATCAAACTTTCTCCCTTCCTAACCTCTTCCTCTCTATACCATGAGGCTTCTGCCATGTGCAGGTAAATCCAGCCGCTCATCCAATGAAGGCATTAAGAGCTCAGACAAATCAAACAAAGAGCTCCAGCCATGTGGCACCTCGTAGATTAGACCTGGGAGGCATTCACCGAAGCTGGATCGCTCGTGATTGAATCCAAACTTGTCGAATAATTGTTTAAAAAAAAAAAGAGAGAGAATTTGAGTGATTCTTGTTCGTTAACTTGCTGTGCAGTGTAATGGCGGTGTTGGGTGTGTGGAATGGAAGGAGTAGTTTCCCTTTTTGGTTTTGCCTTTCCCGTGTCCTCTATCTGTGTTTTCCCTCTGACAGAGCTTCGCTAGGAGTGCCAGAAATTCTTTCAGGCTACTCTGAAGGTCAGATTTTCAGTCTAATGGAGGGAAAGAGGACTTGTGAGACTTGAGGGCTTGAAAGAGAGAGAGAGAGAGAGAGAGAGAGATCTGACAAATCAGAGAAAGGGAAGAAAAGAAATGGAAGATGGATCATGACAAGCAAAGAAAGGCGAGAGAGAGAGAGAGACCCCAAAAAAAAAGGCATATTTACCCTCCTTGAGGTTTTGAGTCAATATCCTGACAAATAACATTCAGGCAATTACCAAGGTCACCATGACGCCACCACCTGCCTCAGTCGCCATGACAACCCCCATGGGCCACATCGGAGAAGCGTTTGAGAGACAGTTAGACACGGTGCTTCAGGAGGAGTGAATGAAGCCGTGTCTTCAGTTTGACTTCTGTCTCTCTTGCAGGCGCTCGTCGCCGTCTCTCGTCTTGCGCCTGGGAAATTCCATACTCCCTACGCTATATTTAAGCCCCGTGCTTGTGCACTTTGTGTAACCATGGCGACGGCGAACTAGGTCGTGTCGCGTCAGGTCAACCGATGGGTCAACAAAGACATGTTTTCCCTCGCAGGAAGGTGAAATTAATTCGCAGCAACAACCCAAACTGAAAACTCATCCTCCTCCGGCTGATAAATCGTCGTAGCGACGAGAATAAGACGCCGCTGCTCGGATCTGTCTCATCCTTTTCGATTTGCACAACTTATCTCCGGGAAATTGTGAATGATTTAGCAGCTTTGCTTTGATTAAAAAGAAAAAAAAAAACACAGAATGCCTAATGTGCCTTTCATTCACAACATCTTCATCTCCGTCTTGTTGTTGCTTCTTTTCTTTTTTTAATGAATAATGTCCTAATGTGTTTGCCGTAATGAAGCGTATCTCTGTTTTAATAATAAAGAGGAAGGCTTGGCAGCGTTGCGGGCTGTGGGTGTGTTTTATTGCTCAGAGGTGGATCATTATCATGTTGCCCTCACTGCTCATGGATTTGAGATTAGCATTGGCCCTGGAGGCCGGTGTTGCGTTCTGCTGAATGGGTAATGGAGAGGAAAAACCTGCACCTTGTAGAGTCTGTGTTGTTTTTACAGTGGAGAGGAAAGGAAAGAAAGTTTCTCAGGTGCCAGTTCAAATATGATAAATCTCCCTGGTATGAATAAATACACTTCAGAATTTACTAGCTATTTTTTATTATTTATTTTTTTTCTGTAAAATCTTCATCCTCCGTTTCTGTCCCGACTCCTGAAGCTTTCGATGCCTCAGGATGCGGCTCTCTTACATTAATGTGTCAGTGTTTGTGTGTGTGTGTGTGTGTGTGTGTGTGTGTGTGTGGGGCGGGACGCTGCCTGGCGTCAGGGCCGTTTCCTCTGGTCTGCCCACAGTTACGTGGGGGCTCGCTCTGGTCAGGGTGTGTCTGCTTGGTGGTGGCATTTCTCCGACTGGAACTGATGCATCCCTCTGAGCTGGATGCCAAGTGTATTGTACTGTGTTGCACTGTCATACAACATGTCTTGTCTTGTGTTTCACTGGGCGGCAACACTGACGTTGAGGTCCTGGCTGGGTATTGTTTAGGGAGTGGAAAGGAAACAGATACGATGCACAGTTTGGCTCAGTTACTGGTCGTAAGAGCATTTTGTATTATTTATTTTATTTAGTTATGATTAAGAAAAGGGCTTTTAAACAACTGTAGGACTGGAACTAATGATTATTTTCTCTCTAACAACATTATTTGCTTCTTCTTTTACCCATAAAATCTCCTCCTAGAGCCCAAAGTGACCTTTTTAATTAGCTAACAGTCCAAAGTGGAATATTCAAATTACAGTCATGTAAGAGAGAGATAATGAGCAAATCTCCACTCTTTTTTTTTTTTCACTTCATTTCAGAAGCTGAAACCAGTGCAGTTTAGCATGATAATTAACTGACTTTAAAAACTGCAGATTTTAAGTTTCCAACCTTATCTATTCATTTGCAACAAAGACACAAAGATTAACTGAATATCTGAAAAAATAAACATAATTTTTTAAGTCTTCCTGCTCTCATGGTCCCTTTATGTTAATCTTGCGGCCCCTCAGAGGGGTCCCAGCCCTCAGGTTGGGAACATTTGAAACTATCCAGTAATAGCAGCGTTTTCAATCAGCTTCTGCACATTTTAAATCATAGATATTATAATTTAAACATCATTTTAACCTTTGGAAGTTTTGTAGTGTCTTTTACCTGAATGCTTATTGATATGCAGAGGATGTCGGGGGGGGGGGCTTGCCGCAGTCGTCGGGAGCAAAACATTGTGTGCATGCCTCTGTGTGTAGTTACGTGCGTGTGCGCCTGTCAGGTGTTTGTTTGCGTGTCATCTCCCCCGCTGCCCGTTGCCATTCACAACCCGGGGTCTCTCTGCAGCCCTGAGGCGGGAGGGCTGACGGGGAGAATGGAGCAGCTCGCGGGGCTTCCACCTTGTGTTGCGTGTGAAGTGGCTGCTAAGCGTCTGCGAACAGGGAGAGCTTTGTGCGACCGGCGGAAGAAAATGCCTCTCATTGAGGACCTCTCTGTGATACCCCGAATAGAGAGGGAGAATAGTGTGCGTGTGTGTGCGTGTGTTTGTGTGTGTGTGTGCGTGTGCATGTGCATGTGCATGTGCGCAGCTCCTGTGTCCTGATTATGATTATTTCCCCCCCCCCCCTCTCTGACACAACTCTCTAAAGTTTCATGGAGTCTTCTTCTCCCTCAGAATCTGATTTTTATAAAACTGAACCCAGAGGCACGAACGCCCAATTCAGAAATGATCATCGTTGTCATGGCAACGATTAAACCTTGCACGATTCACCTGAGACAGCCGAAGTCTTGTGGGGCCTGTGGCGGCTTCGTTGAGGGAGTGTTAACGCGGAGAACGAGACGGTTGAATAAAAGCAAAAACAGTCGCGTTTATTTAGAGACACTGAGACCTTTCGTGGTGAAACAGCAGCAGGTACAGCAAAGTGCGTCCATGCCACACCAGGGGTATAACAATACAATCAGCTCACAACACCAGAGTCACAGCTCGACTTTTAACAAAGTTGGATAGGAAACAAACTATGAGAGCACTTTTTTTCTTCCCCCTTAGGAGGAATAAAATAAGTTGCAAGTAACATCAAATAACCTGTAGATTATTTTTAATAATGCACATGCAAACAAACGGTTATACATTAAGCCGCTATTGTCATCCACGCTTCATAATTGCGATATATGTTATTACACCCCCCCCCCCCCCCCGTCATGCATTTCTTGATGACTAGATAACGAACAGGTTCATTGCTGATGAGCTGAGCACAAACACCTTTGACCTGAAAATAGCTAGTGACGCATTCAGATGCAGCGACACCCACATGCTGAGCTATAAATGAAAACCCGCTTTTATGTTTTGATGTTTTGTTCGCATGTGGTCAGGACCCTTTTTTTTTTTAGGGCAGCTGTCTTAGAAAGAAAAAAAAAACCCTTTGCTTTTTTTTAGGTTGTGACTGAATTCTTTGAAATCGTTGTTAACGAGAACTAATGATCAATTTTTCCATGAGTCGCGGAGGAAATGCTGCGTCACTTTAAGGCAACAACTGTGGGGAAGCTGATCAGTTAAACCGATGGGAAGTGGAAGTCTCTGCAAAGATGACGGGATAAAACGAAACCTAAGTGCAAGAGATTGAAGAGGGACAACTTTTATAGCACAAATTGATCATCTATTGGTGGTTAATCAAGTAGAAATTTGAATGCGCTTACACCCAGTAGGACAGTTGAGGATGTAGTGATAAGTGACTGTGGAAAAGGGATTTTACAACTCACTG